GAAATTGGAACTTTGTCACTGTCGATAGGAATTTAAAATGGTGCAGTCACTGTGGAAAACAGTATGGAGGGTTCTTTAAAAAATTAAAAATAGGACTACATATGACCGAGCAATTCCACTTCCACTGTCTCTATGAAAGCAGGATCTCAAAGAGATATTTCTGTGGTAGGCAGCTAAACAGAGATGAGCAGAGTAAGAATAAGGACGATGGGACTGGTACAGAAAGTCACCAGGGAGAGAAGTCCAGGGTGACCCTCCCTCCCCTAGCATATCGCTGGTCAATCTGTTTAGATCCCCTGACCTTTACTCTCTAGAGATAACATCCTGGCCTCGGTTGTATTTCAGCTCCAGGTTCAGAGAAGCATCAAAACCAGACACAAACACCAAGGCTGACCTCAGGACCAGCTGCACTGAATAATGACCCCCGCTGCCTTCGCACCAATCTCCACTGATTGATTGGTGCCAAGGTAGCGGGGGTCATTATTCAGTGCAGCTGGTCCTGAGGTCAATCAGTGGAGATCACAATCCTGAAAAAGTACATCTAGAAATCTGCTGAATATTCTACTGAGTTCTTCCCCTGAAGCCTCCCCTAAAATCTACACCCTTAAAACCATTAGGACTCAGGACTTAGCGTGCTCTCCTTCCCTGAAGCACACCCTTTCCTTTCCCTTCCTCCTTCCCCTTCCCATTCCCCCTGGCAAGTCACCTTTACCTTCCTCACTTTGAAGCTCCAAGAGCCCTCCTTTGGCCTCTGTAACTTGTTTCCTAAACCCTCTTCTTCTATCATTCACTTCTTCCACCTCTATGTAAATATTCTAAGTAAATATTCTCTTATAGTTTGAGTCTTGGCTCTGAATTCTTTCCTAGCCAGAACTCAAGTACTGATGTTGCTGACCCATGTCCGGTCAGACCCTACCAGTCTAACACCTGGTGCTGTTACCCCCGCCGCCAACATTTCTACACCTGTTCATAGTAGCATTATTCATAACAGCTAAAACATGGAACCAACCTAACTTGACTAATGAATGGATTATCAAAATATGATATATGCACACAATGGAATATTATTCAGCCTTAAAAGAAAGAAAATTCTGTAATATGTATGCCATAACATGGATGAATTTTGTGAACATTATGCTAAGTGAAAAAAGGCAGTCACAAAAGACAAATACTGTATGATTCACTCATGAGGTTCTTAAAATAGCTAAAAATCATAAAGACAGAAAGTACCAGGGCTGAGGTGTGTATGGGGAGCAAGAATTGGGTTATTGTTTAATGGATATAGAGGTTCAGACCTACTAAATGAGAAGCGTTATGACTATGGATGGTGGTTATCCTATATAATAAAAGCCTAATGTGCTAAGTTGTCTGGTCATCCATTTAACTAATCAAAGCATAATATGCTAATGATATGCTAAGGCTGTTCAACTGCTCACTATGTGCACTGACCACCAGGGGCAGGCAGTCAACCTGCCGACCAGTCATTTTGACATGCACTGACCACCAGGGACAGATGCTCCAACCAGTAGGTTAGTTTGCTGCTGGTGTCCAACAGATCAGGACGGACACACCCTGGAACCCTCCTGTGGTTCCTCCCCTGGCTGGCTAACTTTCCTCATCCCTCCCTGGCCCCAATCGTGCAGTGGGATCCCCAGCTTGGGCTGTGCCCTCTTGCAATCTGGGTCCCCTTGGGGAATTTCCAAGAGCTGGTTTCAGCCCCATCCTGCAGGATAGGCCAAGGAACCCCACTGGTGCACATATTCATGCACTGGGCCTCTAGTGGTGGTATAATAGTTACCAAGGAATCAAACTTCCCCATCGCTCCCATGAGGTGGAGGTGCTCAGGGTACTGCTAAAATAAGAATTTTTAGAAGCCCCCATGGGATAATGGATGTGGGAAAAGGCTTTATTTGCATGAATTTACATTGCTCAGATTCCAAAGTTCCCTGCCCCTTAGCTAATCCTGGAAAAAGTGCAGCTAGGGTTTCAGCAGTGTCAAAAGCAAGACCAGTGGCCAGTCTGCTCCATGGTGCAACCAGGTGTAGTTCAGTATACAAGCTAATTAAAATCCATTAGTCACCGAAACCGGTTTGGCTCAATGGATAGAGCGTCGGCTTGGGGACTGAAGGGTCCTGGGTTCGATTCCGGTCAAGGGCATGTATCTTGGTTGCGGGCATATCCCCAGCAGGGGGTGTGCAAGAGGCAGCTGATCGATGACTCTCTCATCGATGTTTCTAATTCTCTATCTCTCTCCCTTCCTCTCTGTACAAAATCAATAAAATATATTAAAAATAAATAAATAAATAAATAAATAAATAAATAAATTTGAAAAAATAAAAAATCAAATCAAATCCATTAGTCCATTGTGAAAGTCACACATGGCTGTGCAAGCACAGAGCACAGCCCCCTGCAGCGGGAATCACAGGTGAAAGACAAAGAGAGCTAGAACTTCCTTTGTTTGGACATTTAAATCAGGCGTCTTCAAACTATGGCCCCCGGGCCATCAAACTATGGCCCTCGGGCCACATGTGGCCCGCAGAGGAGTCTGATCCGGCCCGCCAGGTTTTTTGGGCAGTGAGCGCAGCCTTGGTGTTACAGTAGGAATTAGTAGTTCATATAGTCCGGCCCTCCAGCTCTCTGAGGGACCGTGATCTGGCCCCCACTTTAAAAAGTTTGAGGACGCCTGATTTAAATATTCAGGTTTCCTGCACTTGTAGTGGCCACACCTAGTCTAGCCTGTGATTCACTTAACTTCCAGGTTTGACAGGTAAGCATCCTCCCTGACAGGTAAGCATCCTCCCATGTCACTCAGACCTGCTAGGCATGCATCTACACGTCCTTTATCTCATTCTTTCCCCCATCACTCATCTGGGAAGAGACTTGGAGAATGTTAGATGCAGCTTTCTGGCAAAGCTGTATAAATGGCATGCCTATACTATTAGGTCTGCCCTTTCCTCCTTTCCTGTTAAATAATAACGAAGTTATTACAACAGCATCACAACAATGTGCAGGAAACACGGGGACTTAAGGTTGAACCTGGACCAGAGGGCGCACGAAGTGGCCTGAAGCAGGGGCTGTGCCTGGCAGCCAGCCAAATTCAGCAGGTTCAGCCTTTTCCTGGAACCCAGTTCTCTCTGAAGCTCCGAGGAGCCACCAGAAATACTCGTCAGCTTTCCTAGGACAGGGTGTCCAGCCCAGAAATAATGGCAGGATCCCAGACCAAGTGACCAGTGGTGGGTGGAGGGAGCTGGCCATGGGAAGGAAAGCAGAGGGCTGTCGGGATCCTGAGCCCCTGTCAGATGGCAGGCTCCAGCACATGCTTCTGCCCACAGCACTGTCAGGGGCTCACTGTGCCCAGCACATGCCCAGACAGGACAAAGCACTCCAGAGAACGCTCGCTGAGCCAGCAAACGAGGCGGAGAGCTGAGGGTTAGGAGGTCCTACCCGTAAGAGCTGGGGTGGGACTGGCGGTGAGGGGGCGGAGGGCTCAACTATCAAAAACACACAACCTTAATTTCCTCTGATTTCATCAGCCGCAATCACATGAGCAAAGGTCTCTGCCTGACCCTGGGGCGTAGAAGCGGGGCAGGGCCTTACAGAGCACTGGTAGGCGCTGAGCACTCCCTCTTCATTCCCCCTGTAAGGCAGGTCCCATCTCTGTCCGGACTGTGAAAGTTTCCCAAAGGCATGCTGTCAGTAAGACTCACACCTGGGTCTATCCTGCTTCAGAGATTGCACTTTCAACTACTCTCCTTCATCTGACAAACCTTAGTGAGCACCATGTGTCGGGCACGGTCCCAAGTGCTGAAAGCACAGCTGGAACAAACCTGCCACAGCTCCCACAGAGCCCCACGGCCCCCACAGGGCCCTACAGAACCCCCCCCTCCAGAGCCCCATGGGTCCCCAAGAGCCCCACGGGACCTCCCCCCAGTCACATGGGTCCCTGAAAGCCCCATGGCTCTTTAAGAGCCCCATGAGCCGCCCACCCAGAGCTCCACAGCCCCTCCTTGAGCCCACGGCCCCCCAGAGCCACACGGCGCACTGAGAGTTTTCATGCTAGTTGGCGGAGGGGGACAGATAATATAAATCGGAAAACCATATACAACCAAATAACATAAAGTCAAAATGAGGCAAATCCTGTGAAGATAAGTAAGGTAGGACAGGGGTAAAGTAGGGGCTGCTACACTTTTTCTGCAAAAGACCAGATAGTAAATATGTGTGGCTTGCCGGTCACACGGTCTCCCTTGCAACCACTCAACTCTGCAAAAGCAGCCTGGGAAACATGCAAATGGAGGTGTGGCCATGTTCCAACAAAACTTCATGGATGGACAGTGAGTTTAGGATTTCATTTAATTCTCACATGTCACAAAACGTTATTCTTTTGCTTTGCTTTTCCAATCTACAGAAACATTAAAAAAAAAAAAAAATTCTTTGCTTGCAGGCCACACAGGAAGGTGGTGGCCCAGATTAAGCCTGTGGGCTGTAGCGTGACAATCCCAGGGACAGACAGTAGCTGGCGTGTCTATGTGGAAATGTACTTTATTTTTTTTCATTTTTAAATTGTGTTTCGGGGTCTGTATAAGAGATGTACTTAGAGTGGTCAAGAAGGGCTCCACAAGGTGACGGCATCTGAGCAGGAACCTGACTGAAGCAGGCAGTGAGCCCTCCGCTCCCAGAGAGGGAACAGGCACTGCGAAGGCCCGGCACCGTGTGTGAGGAGGTGGGAGGCTGTGGGCATGGAGGCAGATCAGTGGGCCCCGGGCCCCTGTGAGGACTTTAGTCTCAGGACTTTAGCCTCCGACACTTAGGAGCTTTGTGATCTCGGGCAAGCTAATGAGCTTCTCTGCCCCTCAAGTGGAAAAACAATGGTGCCCATCTCAGAGGGTGGAAGGACCTGGTGAGCATAAAGCTCTGAATGAATGAATGCTAAAGATTAGTACTAATATCGGAGTCCAGCTGGACGAGGCAGGAGCTGAGGGGACAGCTTCCATCACACTCACCCACGATGTCCACCACGTCGGGCCGGATGAGCGGCTCCCCGCCCGTTAGCCGGATCTTGTCGACACCTTCTTTCACAAAGAGCCGCGCCAGGGTCAGGATCTCCTCTGTGGTCAGCAGGTCGGCCTTGGGCGTCAGTGGTACCCCCTCCTCGGGCATGCAGTACTGGCCTGCAGGGAAGGAGCGTGGGGGGATGATGACAGCAGCCAGGCCCATGGTGTGCCCGCCCCCACCGGGCCAGGACTTTCTCCAGAACCCACCCAGACACTGAGTTGGTGCAGACCCTAGGCCAGATTCTCTCTGGGCCTCCCCTTTCTCATCTGTGAAATGGTAACCTGAGGGAGCGGAGGGTACAGGTTAAAGATAAGCCAGGTAGAGAGCCAAAATGCTGACTTCTCATGCTGGGCATGGCCTGACGAGAGGGCCAGGGCCGGGGCCCATTCCTTCTGGCATTGTTCACCCTCTCTCATTTCATCTGGTTTGGGCAAATAGCTACCCTTTCGCATGTGTGTGATGGGGTGAAAAGGCAGGGAAGTACTCTCTGGCCTGGCAAAGCTGCTGTTCTCTGTAGCTACATCCAACCTGTCTACTCCAGATTTCTGTCCACGCTGTGATCAGTAGGAAAACTCAGGTTCTGTATCCGGGCCAGCTAGCAGAATGGGGTAAAGGAGGTGAGCCCTGGCTGGGGAGGGGGCCATTCCCACCATTAGTTTTGGTGGTTCAGTGCCATCAAGGATTGGGACCAGATCTGTGAGTCATGAAGACTCCAGAATTGGTCTTTTAAGACTGACTAGAAATGTTGAGTTCAACATTTACATATGCACATGCATATTTCCTGGGCCATGAAGTGAACACATTTCTTACTGTGAACTACAGAGTAGGGAAAGGAGGGAGTAGGGGAGGGGGAAAAAAGGAGAAAGAGAAAGAGAGAGAGAGGGAGGGAGGAAGGCCAACAAACTTGAGAAGTCAAGCAGCAAATACACCCCAGGGAAGCCCTCATGGGATTATTAAACGAGGACTCTGCATCATCTTGGCCCCAGATGACCTTGGCCAACTTAATGAACTTCTCTCGACACTGGGTTGTCTCCACAGCTGGAGTGTTGGCCATGGGCCCTGCTGTGGACCTCCCGGTTTGGTGTCTAGTGGGGCACCCTGGCACGTCCTGAATGCTGGGCACTGCAGAACAACAGAAGGGAGGAAGAAAGAACCTTGAGGAACAGCAATTCTTTGTTCTAATCTAGAATCCAGCTTCCACGATCATAAAACTCAGCCTGGACCCCAATATTGTCCTGAACTTCACCTGGCGAGCAAGGCAGAGGGTGGGCGGTGGGGAAGTCAGAAAGAGGAACTGGGGACATGGACAGGAATTGCTGGCATGGGGAGATTTCGGCGCATGGAGAGAGGAACGGGGCGCAGAGAGGGCCCGGAAGGAGACTCACATCTGAGGTTGCACTTCTCGGTGAGGGAGATCCGCAGGTAGCTGTGGTGGCGGCCAAAGCCGTCGGTGAGGAAGGCAGAGAAGGGGGCCGCGTGCTCCCTCAGGAACTGCCTCCGCCTGGACAGCTCCTGCAGGGACAGTCAGGTCAGAGGGGAGGACACTGCAGGGGTGGAGCCAGGGGAGCCTGCCAGGGGGAAGCCCACCTGGGGGACATAACCCTTCCTATCTGTGCAGCAGCACCTCTCATCTTTCCAGCCCTGTGGGTCCCTCAGCACTGAGGGAACTGGGGTTCCCCCTCCCCCAAGACTGGCCTGAGGGAAGGACCTGCTGGGTTGTGGAGTCCCAACCTGCAGGACATGCGCACCCCCACCCTTAGAGGAAGCCTGCCCAGGAGACTTGCTATCCCTGGGAGAGATGGTCCAGGAAGGAGGCAGGTACCTGAGGCAGGGAGGCACCATCGCTGCACGGCTAGAGCTTGGTGAGCCACCTTTCCAACTAAGGCCTCCCCTTCCCTCCCTTGACCAAGGCAGGCAGAAAGAGCTCAGGCAAAACCACTAACTCTGGGTGTCACACAAGCTGGCTCCCCTTAACTATCCCCCTGTTGGCTGGGGTCCCCAGGGCATCCCCAATGCCCAGGAGGACCCAACAGGTCAAGCCACCAGCAGCATGGGAGGGCTCCCCGCACACAGGCCAAGGGGCGAGGACAGCACAACCTGGGAGACCTGCAGAGGGAATGGGGCTCCCAGCCCCCAAGAGGGCAGAATGGAGGGGCCGGAATGGCCGTGCAGAGATGCCGTGTCTTTATCCTTCCCCACCCACTGCAGGAAGGAAGAATGACCCACCCGTTGTCTGAGGCCTATAGGGGAGGAGGTGGCTGGAGAGTCCCTGGAAGGCCCGAGCCCTGCTGGGGAGAAAAGCAGCAGCCAGCCTCACCATCTCCAAAGTCTGATCTCCTCTGATCTCCCACCTTCCTAGCAAAACTCTGCGTTTCATGACAGATGCTGACGAGATCATTGCTCCAAGAAGGAACATTTGCAAACCATCTTCAAGTTCCAAAGAATGTTCTCTGCTCAATGAACCCCCACACCTTCTCCATGGAGGATTATAACTAAGGCTTGGATGGGGTCCAAGAACACCCTGAGTTGTTCAAATCCAGGTCTCTGATTCCAAGTTCCAAATTCCTTCCTCTGGTGACAGGAGGAGTCCAAGAAGATGCACAGGGGGCAGTACAGCGGGCGGGCAGGCGAGGAGAAGCCATTTCTTTAGAACAAAGAAATCATGGCCTTGGCAGTCATCCCCGAGGCAGACGGGAAGGGCAAGAACCCTGGTTTCTGGGCCAGGTGTGACCTTACACCTGGGAAAGTGCCCTAATTCCTCTAGGCCTGCTTTCCCAGCTGTAAACTAAAAAAGAAATAATGAGGTGCAGGGGTGGGCAGGGAGCTGGAAGGGAAACACCTAGGATTAAGAATTTGTAATCTAAGAGGCAGAAGGCCTCAGGCCCTCCTGAGGCAGGGAGGGAGAAACATTGACGCCAGTGACCTCCTCAGCCCTGGCTGTTCTGTGCAACCAGTTGAGGAGCTTAAGAAAAAAAGTTCTTCTGGAGATCAGTGAATTTGATCTCTGAGCACTTGTGATTTTAATCTCTCCAGGTGATTCTATTGTGCAGCCAGGACCAAGGGCCACAGGCGGACTTGAGAGAGAGAAGGGACAGGAGAGAGGGTGTGGAGATGTGGGGGTGCTCACTGCCCACACTGAGGCCAGTTCCCCATGTCCTCTGAAGAACCCTGCTCAGTCATGGCCAGTGAGCAGCAGTCACTTCTCAGAACTGCCGGCTAATACCATCCTAACCATCCCTTCCTCCCTGGCTCCCACCTCCTTGCCAGCGGTAGCCTTGAGGATGGGGCAGGAGATCCTCAGAGCCAAGAGTCCCCCCTGGCCACCAGAGCCCAGGCGGTCGGACACCTGGGAATCAGGATGTAGGGCAGAGTTGCACCAGCTTCCCCATCAACAGCTACTTGCAATTCATTGATTTGTCAATCACCCCAGGCCCTAGCTCCTCACTTGCCAAGATGCCTCTCCTGACCCTCATCTTAACATACAGGGAAGGAGGCTGGGTGAGGGAGGAGCCAAAACAAATCCAGGAATTGGGAGCAAGTGAGGGCCAAGGAGTATGACTCAGCAGAATCAGCAAGCCAGCAGTGTAATGGGGCATCCACGAGGAAATTAAATGCTCTGTTCTGGCCAGAGAGGGGCAGGCCCGATTCCACTTTGAGACGTGGAGTGACCTTATCCAGGTTCATTCAGACTCTGTACTGCCAGTACCTGCCCAGCCTCCTGTACACACACACACACACACACACACACACACACATATGCATATACACACACCCTCTCTCCCTCTATCTCTCTCTTGGATATTAACAAGCCTCATCCTTGCCTCTTTCCTCCTCCAACACTGCATATCCTACTTTCGTTCTTCTAGTTTCTTCCTTTCCCTTAAATCTCCTTGAGGGGAAAATGCCAGTGCCAAAGGAGCCCAGGGCCCAGAGGGCACGGCCACAGGCAGGGTAGCAGCAATGCCTCCCCCAGGAAGGGCTGGACATATCAGAATAGAAAGCCCCAGCTGCCCAGATTCCCAGGGCCCAGCCCGGACCAGGCTGTTTCCCGTGTGGGGAGCCCTCCCATGGGTCTCAGTATCCCAGTGTCCACACTACATGTCATTAGCTAGTGGCAAACTGAGTCCATGTCCCAAGAGGCAGGCTCCTACTCCAAAGGTTACACTGGGGTCATCAAGCATTTCCGGGCTGGCCTCGGTTGCCCACATGGTGTAGCATGATACAGCGGCTCCCGACTCTGCTTGGCCATCATCATCACTGCAGAGCTCCTAGGACTGAGGCCAGAGCCCGCCAATGGCTCTGGGGTGGGGTGAGCTGCGGATTTGTGTGTGTTTGAAGGGCTGTAGCTTCCTCCCTGCAGCCAGGGCCGAGGACTCCTGGCCCGGCCACCCCAGGACAAAAGCAGCAGCAGCTGGTTTACTCCAGGGTCTTGCTGTGGTGCTAGCACAGGCTTTGGGAGTCGGCAAACCTGAATGGCAAGCTTGGCTCTGCTCCTTATGAACTACCTGTGGAGCTAAAGTCTTTAAGCCTTGGCTTCCTCATCCATAAAGTGTGGATAATATGTCTACCTAACTCGATAGGCGGTGTTCCTGGCAGAGTAAGTATTAAGCTTGTGATTCCTGCCACTTTCTTAAAATAATTCCTACTTACATATTGAATCATCAATCAAGTATTCTTGAGCAGCACTAGTTGTGAGTGCTGGGACTGGTTTTCCCACCCTTCCCTGTCCTGCATGGCCCTGGCCTTCCCACCCACAGCTGGGACTTGACCTGCTGTCACACCACCCGAGGCAGGACGGTGGTGCCCAAGTCCCTCCAGCACCACCGATGCCAGTGCCAATAATAACCAGTCCTCAGCAGCCTACCACATGCTACCTGTTTACCCCTTGTCTCCCTGCCCAGGGCGGATTGAGGCGGAGTGGAGTGGCAAGGGCGAGGGTAGTACTAAGGAGTTAAGAGCCTCCCCTGGCATTAGTCACCTGGGCATTAGATTTCAATGGTGAAGGCCAGCCCCGAATAGCTCTACAGTATACACAGGGTAGCAGGGTTATTCAGGAGAAAAAACACAAGCCAAACTTGAGTATCAGAGCCCTGCCTGACCAGCAGTTTTGCAATGATATATACCCCAGGTATCCCAAAATTACCTCTGCCACATGAGATGACTTAGCACAGCCGCTAGCCCCCAGCCTCCCTCCCTCCTCACCCCACCCTAAGTGTGAGGTCTTCACAACTCTGGCTCCTGGCGGGGAGTGGCACACTTACCGAAGTAAAGCTTTTACAGAGCTGCCCAGGCTCGGAGTCCAGATAACACCCTGCTTGCCCTCTATCTCTTTTCCTCCACGTGTCCTGCCCCAGGCCGGCCCTGTGGTCCCTCCTACCTTCTCCTATACCCAGTTCCTTCCTCTTAACCTTCCTTTGCAGCTATTTGCACATCCGGGTGCTGTGGCCTTGTGGGTCCCTCTCTCCCCTGCCTGAGGCAGCTGGCCCAGCACCCGAGACCAGCCCACATGAAGCTTGAGAAAGAGAAGAGGGGTGCAGTGCTTCTGGGCTGGGATAAGCCTCCTGAAGAAGACTGTCCGGGCCACCCCATCACAAGGCAGGTAGCCATCTCTCCCCTTCCCACATCCCCACGTCCCCACGTGCCACATGCCCACGGCCCCACACACCGCCTCTTACCCTTCCTACATGTAGAAGTAGAATCTGCTCAACCTGTCCTTGGACCAATCCCAAGGCCTCCTTTCAGCCGGCCTCACAGGGGCTCTCTCACACCCGCACCCCAACACAGAAATGTTAGCTACCCAGTGGCTTGCCCCTCTGTCTGTCCAAGCAACGCCCCCTTCCCCTATTCCAAACTGGAGGGTCAAGGCCCTGTGCAGGGTGTGGGAAAAGGCAGGAAGGAAAGGGGGATAGGGGCTCAGGGGCCCCCACCCCTGCTCTTGCCAATTAGCAAGCTCTGGGACAGGCTGACCACATGTGCCTACAGGCTTGTCTCTCCTCTGAGAGTCTCCAAGGCATCTGTGCCCTCCCCACCGTGTCAAGATGGGCTGCTTCAACCGTCGGCTTTTGAAGACCTGAAGAGAGGACGAGTGGCAGCCCAGGAACCAGGGAAAACTGGAGGCCAAGCAAGACTGCAAACGTGGGGCTCCCTTTCCCGTGCCTACGGTCCATGGCCCTCCCTTGGGTTGCAAACAATCAAAAACATCTGCTGACTCCACTGCAGGCGGATCCCTGTGCCGAGCACTGTGGGCAGATTCCAAGAAAGGCGGGAGAGCATCCAGCACTCAAGGGACAACCTGTCTGCTGAGGACAACGCCAGAGGGGAACGACGGAGATGGGCGGTCTGTGGTCCAACAGCTGCCAGAATGGCTATCTTGAATGTCCAGGTGGGAGGGGACTAACGGGACACTGCACGGGCCAGTGGCAGCAAAAACAATAATTACAACAACTACATGCTTAACAGAGCACTTAGGTGTGCCAGGCTTTGTTCTAATTATATATATTTTATAGCCCCTATAACCACCTGATGGAGCAGACACTATTATTCCACTTTACAAACAGGAAGAGGAGGCACAGGGAGGTGAGGTTCACACAGCTAGGATGTGACAGGGCTGGGACTCAATGCCAGGCGCTCTGTCCCACCATCCATGCTCTTCCCTGCTCGTGACAGCTCCCTTCCCGGTGCAAAGGAGAGGGTAGGGGCAGCCTCTCCCCCGTCCTCCCCGCAGGCACCAGAGTTTGAGTTCCTGCCCCTTCCCAGCCCTGTGACTCAGGGGAGTTACTTCACAAGCCTCCACACTGAGAAACACTCTGCTCCTCACATTTACAGACCCGACTCCGTGCTTTCTGTGAGGACTGAAGCCCTTAGCACGGGTCCTCTCGTGAAAGGTATGAAATGAGCTAGAGGCGGGGGAGGGAGAAACCTCCCTCTTCTGGAACTGTTTAAAGATCTCTCAGCAATCTCTGCTCTCCCGCCTCCCCCTCAGTGGAGTTCAGAGGTCAGGAATAGGGAACATTCTCTCCATTTCCCAGCAACTGGACCTGTTTATCTGAGGATCCCAGAGGGGACCGCCAGGTAGGCTCCCCCTCATTGGGCAGTAGTGAGGGGGGGGGAGGGGAGCAGGATCTGATGAACCCCAGGACTTGAAGGTTTGTGCTGGGGAGTGGGAGGAGAAGGACCAGATGGATCTAGAACTAAGGTTTCGGCAAATCAAGAGACGCTTCTCCCCAAGTTATTCTCTGACCACATGCACAAAAGCAGAGCCAACTTAAAACTTGTGATTATAGGAATCACTCTGAGGGATGCTGTCAAGGACTGGGAGGTGGGGACAGAAAGAGGAGCTCCTCACCCTGAAGAGATAGATACCAAACCCCTAACCTGAAGGGCGCAGGTCCTGCTCCACGCTGCCCTAAAGGAGGCTGCACCCTCCTGAAGGAAATGAAGATGAAACAGAAAGTGAGAGCCCTGTGACCACCAAGGTGACAACTGACTCTTGCTGGCACCAAGGTGACATTTTTAGGCAGTGTCACACTTTACAGAAGGGTGTCTCATGAACACCTGGTCATACCCAGACCAGTCTGCTGGGGGGTGGGGAGGAAAATGTTTAAGGAAGAGGCTGAGCATGAGGTGGGGCTGAGAGGGGGTATTGATAACATCTCCTAGGACCCAAAGCCCTATCCGCCTGCCCCCCACCGGCGGAGGCCACTCAGACCTGGTGGGGGCTGCAGGGCTGGTGGGCAGGGAGGGGTTTAAGCAAGAGCCCCAAGGAGCGAACCCCTCCCCCACCCTGAAGTATCTGAGAGATCAGACCGACAGTCCATCTAGGAAACATCACTGCACTCCTCTCCCCGCCCCCAATTAAGCGACGAGGCGTCCCTCCCTGAAGCCCTGGCCCCAGGCTAGCCTGGGTGCTTCTCTGGGCACAGGGGGCAGCCTGCCAGGCAGCCGCTCCCGCTCCAGGGAGGGTGCAGATGCGGGCGAGCGGGCTCACCTCCGCCGCAGACTGGGAGGGTTCCCCGGGTCGGGGCTGCGTCACTGGAGCCCCTGAGCTGCAGCTCCGGACACTGGACCTCAGGACCCGCCGCAGCATCCGGGACACGGGCCGCGTCGCCATGGAGCCTGTGGGCCTGGCCGAGACTCGCCTGAGTAGCCGGCTTCGGGAGCACTCTAACCCGGGACTCACAGCCCTGGGTCATCCCGGCCAGGGCGGGCGGGGCGGGGCCAGCGCAGCCAATTGGCGATGGTTCCGAGCCGTGCAGCCAATCGGAGAGGGCCCGGTGCCGCGCAGCCTTCTGGGAGTCGTAGTCCACGCCGTCTGCTCTCTTTCTATGCAGGGTAATAGTGTACTCAGAGGAAAACCGATGTCTTTTCCTACAGACTTCTGTGGCTGTTCTGGTTCCCTACCAAGGCTGTGATGTAACTGACACAAAGTTCTGTATAGCTTTGGTGCAAAATTTAGATACGAGTGTGCCAATAAAGTAGGTAATCAAGATAAATATTTTAATGCAATATTTTGAAAAGTCAGAATAAATGCCAAAAATTATCAACATTTTATATAAAAACATAATCTCACTCTACATGCTTATAACTCATCTCACTCCCTCTTCAGCAGTCTAGGCCCTGGTTGTAGGACCGTCAGCTGCCTCTTTCAAGGTATACTTCTCCACTTGTGCTCCCAAAGAACATTCACAATCTTGGCCTCCCCGTTTAAAAAGAAATGTATGGAAGAAGTCATTGACTAAGTGGATATCACTTTTGTAATGCTTCCTACACTCCAAGCAAACTCCATGAGAGGCATCATGCAATATTATAATAATCCTGCAGTGAACAGAGCCTCAGTCTTACAGCTGAGGAAGCTGAGGCTTAGAGAGGTTAATTTTCCCAAAGTTGTATAGTTGATAGATGGGAAAGCTGGGATGAAACCCAGGATAATCTGATTCCTAAAGTCAAAGTTCAGTCTGCATTAGGAATGGAGGGGAAGCTATATCTCACTCTCAGAAACAAAGAGCTACAGTCTGGTCAGATTTTGGATGGTAATGCACACTCAATAATAGACCTATGTGCTAAGAATCATCATACTCAAACCAGCCTATTTATTGCATCCGAAACTCTATTGTTGTGGAATAGCTAGACTCAGACATTGACTGGAACACACCAACTGCCAAGTGCATATTAGGAAATGGGTATAGAGTTTCTGGTCTTGCAGAATTGACAGACTAGTGGAGAGGAAAGAATAACTGACTGTATAACTGAGTAGAACAAAAGACAGCAAGACCATCAGAAAAGCTGAAATGATGTTAGCTTTATGATGTTATTCAAAATTCAGACAATACATTACCGGGGGTTAGTGTGTCTGGATATGTTTGAAACTGGTGGGGACAGGCCTGACAGAAATCTGTTTACAAAGGGCCTGAGGGCCACTGAGGACTGTTCAAAGCTCTGTCCACTGCTAAATTTGATGTCTGGATTTGTCAGGAGAACTGGGTGTGGGGGTGAGGAGAACAAATACCATATTTTTGCAAGTGAGAAGTCACATGACATAATGAACTTGATCCAGTAGTAAGTCCATAGAATTTAGAGGCAGTGGAGATTCTGTCCTAAACTATTAACATTTCATATTATTGTTATAACAAGTTGCCACAAATTGGTGGCTTAAAACAAAATGATTCTCCCACAGTTCTAGACCAGAGTTTAAAATGAGTTGTACTGGACCAAAACCATGATGGTGACAGGAGCACTCCCTCCAGAGGCTCTGGGGAGAAGCTGTTTGTTTTTTGTTTTTTGTTTGTTTGTTTGCCTTTTCAAGCATCTAGAGCTGCATTCCTTGGCTCAAGGTCCCCTTCTTTATTTTCAAAGCCAGCCGTGCAGTATCTTCTCTCTGTGACTGCTTCTATCCCATGGCCAGCTTCTCTTCTGTCTTAATTCTCCTTCTGCCTCCTTCTTATACGGATATTTGTCCTTGGATGTAAAGACCACCTTAAACACAGACAGGAGGTCAGAGAGCAGAAGGAGAAAGAATTGAGAGAATTGCTTTTTCCTGCTCCCTGCCTGTTTTGATGTGATTGTGGCAATGACTGTGCCCTTCTAGAACTACAGATAGTGTCACACAGCTCCTCTGCAATGAGTCCGGATCTTGCCAGGCCCAGTAACACCACTCTTAACCCTGTCCTTCAGCCTGCAGTGGGGTTGCCTTTCCCCTGTTGATTGCCACAAATGCCTCCATATCTCTGTTGGCCACTTTAACCCTGCCCACATCTCAGAAATGGTCTCCCCAGTTAAAAATCCCTTAAAAAATTCCAGATAAGTATGCTGTCTGATCCTTGCCAGTTCCATGACAAATGCAGGATTCAATGACTTCTCTCTCTCATAATTCCCTAGCTTCAACTTTGTTAAAATAGTGGCAATTGCAACACAGAGACAGTTTGTTTATTATTTATTTATTTATTTATTTGTAAGCCCTTTGAAGGTGGTGCCAAATCTAAACCATTTGCAATCATAGTACCTAACATTGTGTTTGATGCACACAGTAAGCACCCAATAGGTGTGCATTAAATGGTACATTTTGTATCCTTTATATGCCTTTCTAGTCAGGTGGCTGTATCAGTCAGGATAAGACAGATTGTGCTATTATAACAAACAAGCCCAACATCTCAATGGCTGAAAACCACACATGTTGTTTTTCATTTGTATTATATGTCCAACAAGGGTTAGCTAGGGATGGTTCCCCATTAATGTTGTCCTCATTGTCAGCCTGGACTCCGGGCTGATAGAACAGCTAATAGCCACATGGAACATTAACAATTACCAAGAGGGAAAGACTACAGCAAAGAGCAAAGTGGCTCCTGGAGCTTCTTCCTGAAAATGTCACACATCGCTCTGCTCAGAGCAAGTTGCATGGCTACATCTACACTGAGTGGCCAGATTATTATTATGATCTTTGAGCACATAATAATCTGGCCACTCGTGTGTGTGTGTGTGTGTGTGTGTGTGTGTGTGTGTGTTAGAGGCTCAGTGCATGAATTCGTTCATGGGTGGTTGGCCGGCCTGCCTGCTGGTCAAACTCCTGATCAAGGGAACAATTTGCATATTAGCCTTTCGTTATATAGGATATACATTAAGTGGCCAGATTATTATGCATTCAGAGATCATAATAATCTGGCCACTCAGTGTAATTTCAAAAGGAAGTGAGCCTTAGCCTTCCCACAAAGAGTTCCTGGGAAGCAGATATTAGTAAAAATCTTACACAGGAACAGAATTCCCCTTGTGCTCTAATGTGCCATCCAGGCTTTTCCATTCCTCTGGACAACTCTTCCTTCTCTTCATCCCTGTGGCTCCCCTTGCCTACTGAGAGCAACCCCGGTGGCCTTACAGGTCTGCACATGTCAGCCATACTCCCAGAGCCATGAAGTGCTGATCTTAGCACTCTCTTGTTTAGAGTCTGCCATCAGCAAAATTAAGAAGAGTTTGTAATACCTGTTTAATTTAGTGCTTCTCAAAGGATTTCTTCCTGAGCTCAACTATTTGCATAATAATACTAAGACTTATCTGCCTTCTCATGCTCCCATGGCTGTTCAGAGTTTTTTTCCCACAGGTTATCCGATTATGATTTCAGCAGATTGAATACAAAAGCAGGTATGACAATCCAGCTGTTTCTACTAGGTCTGGCATTAAAGAGGTTTGCAAAAATACACCACAATGCCACCTTTCTATATTTTCAAAAAGTTATTTTAAATGTTATGTTAAAATGTAATAGGTATTATTGACTTTAGAGTACTTAACTCATTTTAAAAAATAATAAATTGTTTGTTTTAATTTCTAATATGTTAAATATTAAGTGAAATTAATTGACACAGTAAATAAATGTTAAATAATACACAAGCAAAGATTATTTGGGGTCTTTGATACTTTTTAAGAGTAGAAAGAGTTCCGAACCAACAGTTTGAGAACTGCCGCCTTATTATATACTCACTCATCTTCTGGAGAACCAGCAGCAGCCTAATAGTGCTTTGTAATTGCTCTGTGTCCACATCATTCTCCCCAAATCATTGAAAATAAAATAACCTCCTATCAACTCCCTATTTCCCTGGGCTTCTACAGTGAGCTACCTGTTTTGCTAAGGGAATAGTGGTGGGATGATGGCTTCAGGGATCCTGCCCAGCAGACCAAGTTCAGCACAGAGCCCCTTGCTGGGGAGCAACTCCACATTTCATGTCTAACTTCTGCCACTCAGTCTTTCTCTCCTGGTGCAGATTTCTTGTCAGTTGCAAATCATAAGCAGGTCTTCAGCTTTGCTGGGCTAATTCAATTGTACAATGCTGAGCAGGTGTTCTGTTGTTTTATGATATCATCGGGGAGTCAGAATTGGCTTACTAAAGTCACTGAAGCAATCGTTCTCCCACGTGAAAGAGATTGTAGAGACTGATGTCTTTAGATCTATTAAGCCTCTGGTAACTTTCCGTAGGGATTTCTGGGTCCATTATAAACCATGAATACTCCAATTAAATTCGATTAACTGTTTCTCAAGAATAAGAAGCCAAGAAACATAGAGGGAACTGGGGTAGGTATAATAATGAGTTGGGAAGATTAAGAAGGCACAGGGATTACCGAGAAGAATGGGTCCCTGCAGGGCCCCACTACCAGGGTGTCCGGGGACTCTTGGTGTCTGGGAGAAGAGGAGGGTGTGGAAGGGCACTGAGGACCTTCTTCAGAGACCTCCTCAGATCTTTGGCAGACCAGCCCTCCATTTCTATTATGAAACCACCCTAAACCATTTTCCCTTCTAACCTCCTTCCGAGTATACGGTGGTTTTAAATAGGTTATTGCCGAAACCGGTTTGGCTCAGTGGATAGAGCATTGGCCTGTGGACTGAAAGGTCCCGGGTTTGATTCCAGTCAAGAGCATGTACCTTGGTTGCAAGCACATCCCCAGTACAGTGTGTGCAAAAGGCAGCTGATTGATGATTCTCTCTCATCGATGTTTCTAACTCTCTATCCCTCTCTCTTCCTCTCTGTAAAAAAAAAAAAAATCAATAAAATATATATTTTAAATAAATAAATAAATAAATAAATAAATAAATAAATAAATAAGTAGGTTCTTCAATTCCTAAGTATTCACTTCAAAAGGTGGAACCTAGTTCCCCTCCCCTTAAATGTGAACTAAACTTGGGAATTGCAATACATGAAATGTGGCAAAAGTGATGGTGTTAGGCTTCTGA